TTCGTTTCACATATCCTTTCTACTGAACAGGGTTCGATCCCTACTCATCGTTCCATTGTGAACTGCTTTGTACTAAAACCTACTTAAGCTTATTAACTGAATCGGGACTTCGACATTGGCGTTGTGGTTAACGAGCTCGTTTCACATCCTTTCTACTGAACAGGTTTCGATCGTTATTCGTCGTTCCATTGTGAGCTGTCTTGTACTAAAATCTACCTAAGCTTATTAACTGAATCGGGACTTCGACATTGGCGTTGTGGTTAACGAGCTCGTTTCACATATCCTTTATACTGAACAGTATTCGATCCTTAGTCGTCGTTCCATTGTGAGCTGACTTGTACTAAAATCTACCTAAGCTTATGAACTGAATCGGGACTTCGACATGGCGTTGTCGAAATCGTTATTTAGTCATTATGGTTAACAAGCTCGTTTTACAGATCTGGATCTGTAAAACGGGCTTGTTAACCATAACGACTAAATAACGATTTCGATCCGTACTATGTGCCACATACTTGCACCCTTGAGCCATAATTAAGCTAAGCATTCTAAATGAGTGGGGCTTCGACGTGGCGTTGTGGTTAACAAGTTCGTCTCACAGATCGTTTCTACTGAACAGTAAATTCGATCCACACTCCGTGTTGCATCTAGCGAGGCTAAGTAAGAGAACGGAGATTTTGCCACGGCGTTATGGTTAACAAGCTCTTTTCACATATCCTTTTGATTGATTCAGTTCTTACTCGTTGCTCAATACTTATAACCTTGCGACAAAATTAAGCTATGCATTATTGTTGCTTATGGATAAAAAGCCCCTTTGTAGTGCATGGCCTTGTGCCAGATCCTAGCTAATTTTAGTCAAGACCTCGAGATACCTTTAGTTAAATAGAACTTCGTTCCCTTAATATTTGGAATCTAACCTCGATGTTAAACGAGGCATAGCCGTGAGTAAATCAGTGTCAGATCTCGAGATAAATCATTTTAATATACGGGAGTATGAATTTCCGCCAAGGTGAAACTGTGCCGGTAAGTGCGAGAACAGGCGCTTGTAATAGGGCGCGTTTCAAAGATCATTTTTTATTGTACTGATTGCGATCTTTATTGGGATCCATGATAACAAGCCTGTGTCATAATACATATATATATATATATATATATATATATAAATATATATATATATATCATTAAAGGCGACAGACAAGGTACTACAATTAAGTTTTTTATTTAATTTTTCTTGTGTTCGAACAAGTGTTTTCTTTTCTGGACACAGAGTGTGTAGAAAATATCCAAATGTATAATTCCGCCGGCTTTCGGTCATACTTTTAACCAAGGATGATTTTTAATTGAGTGTATCGGTTGTGTGCATGTTTCTAGGGATGTCTTATTTTCTGAACACAGTTAGTACATTGTGGCCGTGTTCGGAGTTAATATTATTAAGTGTTGGCTTTTTTCTTTTTTCTTTTTAAGGCTTCCATTATTTTTAATCTTTTTTTTTTTTTTACATATGGATGAGGTTATTATATTTGTATTTTCTACTAGTATGTTTCGCATGAAGTCTGATAAGTTTGTAAGTTTGTGTGTGTGTTTAAAAGGATTCTAATAGGCCTGTAGTCGAATAGGTGTAAAGGCGTTTGGTTATATATATATATATATATATATATATATATATATAATTATTTATTTAAAAATATGATTCCAACACGCTACATAAGAGTTCTCATGTTTCAAAACGAGAGCCGAAAACTTCAATATAATTATTTGAATTAAATAATACATACGCTCAATGATAATGAAAACTATTTCAAGGCTGGCACAAGGATAAAAAGGTTGAGAAAGAGTGAACACTAGTGTAAACAAACATTTGAAGTTCAAAAGCATTGACTCAGTTAGGACACTTTATTTTTATTATTATTAGCATGAAAGTCCGACAATTATTTTAAGACATTTTTTATATTTATACGTTTTTTTTTTTTGTAGATACAAATATTTAAGTAAATCATTTGTTTATAATAAACAGTATTAACATTCAGGCCGATAAATGTTATTAATACTGTTTATTATAAACAGAGCATTTACTTAAATATTTGTATCTATAAAAAGAATGTATAAACATAAAAATGTCTTAATATATATATATATATATATATATATATATATATATATATGCTAGAATACAGCAGCATATATCTAGAAAAATCAGGAATGGAAATTTCCAACTAAAGGACGTACAAAACAACACATGGATCCTCCATGACGGAGCATCTTATCAAAAACCTAAATTGTGCTGCTAACTTTAGCATTGACTCGTTTAACTTTTTGAGTCGTGTTCGCTCTATATTGCAGATAAAGGTTTTGGAAACAATTTACTTCGGTCCAGACAGCCGTCCTTCTGTAAACAGAGGTAGAGTCTGTTAGGTCTAAATGTGATTTCAATTTAAATTGTATTCCGCCTTCGTTAATATTACATATCGTTTTTATGTATTATTTTCTTGCAATATATAATCACTCGATCCAGCTCTGTTGATCGAGTGCGAAACCGGTCTGCTGTGTTTGTTTTATTTTTCGCTTTTCTTTTTAATCGTGAAAAGTAAAATGTTTCAACCATTTTTATTGCTATAATAAAATTCTGTATCCCGCAGAAAATTATGAAAATATATATATATATATATATATATATATATATAAATATAAATAATAAAAAAATAAATAAAATATAATATATATATATATATATATATATATATATATATATATATATTTTATAATTATTTTTTATTTTTTTTGTATAATTATTTTTTAAAAATATGATTCTTTCGCTACATAAATTTAATTAGCAATGGAATCATATTTTTAAAAAATAATTATAATTTAGGCTCTACTTTTGTATTGAGTCATGTGTTTTTTTTTTCAAAATAAAAACAAAAATACTAAAGAACTTCGGATTATTTATATAATGTGTTCTTTCCTATTTTTCTATATATCTGCACGCACACACACAGAGAGAGAGAGTTTGAGTGTTCTTTATAAAGGAATTCCATCGGTAAAAGCTTCCTGTGTGGTCGTTGCTCGGGATTAAATTTTTTCAATGTTTTAGATATTCAGTAAATTTCCTATAGCCGTATTAACTTTCAAATATTATGACAGTGTTCACAAATCTAATAATCAGACAAAATCAGGGATGAAGCGTCAGAGCTTGATTCAACTGCAAGTGCAAACGCATAAACGCGCCCCCCTCCTTCTTCACACGCTTACTGTAAAGCTGGGGTTAATAAAAGGTTCTTCGGGATTTTTTTTTCCCTTTTAACGCTTCAATAATCCTTTTCAAACAATCTATGCATCAATGGTTGTTTCAATGCCAATTTAGGATGGAGTCATATGAAGAGATTTTGGATCTAGTTTGTCACAGATTTCGTCCACTTAACTGAAATAATCTAAACCAAACATTCACGCAAGGGAGTTTGTGTGCCATATGTAATTTGCATGGGAAATCTGGAAAGCATCGGATGAAAAACCAGGCATTTATGGCCGTAAAACGGGCTTTTTGAACAGTTTTTCATTATACGCCGGGAAGCGAATAGAACTAAAACCACACTATCTTATTTCTTGCTTGATGAAATTTTTTGGCGACATGTTTGAAGAAATTCGACTAAAAAATGAAGAAGTTATTCAAGTTTTATTTTAAGTACTACGAAAGTCCCGATTTTTTTTACAGCCTTTTGCAATCTTTTGTGTGAAGCCAATGTCAGAGGAAAACTATCAAGCATTCTACATAAACCTCGTAATATGAGCTGATGTTTTGCATTAAGTGCAAAGAACATCAGCTCATCCAGTAAAAATGTTGTTCGTGTGTAACATTGCCTTGGTTTTTGTAAAAAGTTGTACCCACTTTCAGTTTTATCGATTTTGCTGCCAAACACAGGGTTGGAGGCTGGAGATTGAAAAGTTGGCCTTGACCTACCTTAATAAATTTGCAATATGTGTGTACAATTTCGTCGAAATCGGTGGAGAAAATGTATGTATGTATGTATGTATGTATGTATGTATATAAATAAAAAGAAAGAACAGTAAGATATATAATCGGTGTTCTTATAGATATTTTTTTATTTTTACAAAATAGTGCTCAATGTAAACATGGTTAGAACTGTGTAGCGGAAAAAACCATATTTTAAATCAATTAATTTAATATATATATATATATATATATATATATATATATATATATATATATATATATACACCTAGTCAAAAATATTAAGACCAGTTACAAAAGGGTTAAAAAAAAAATCAAATACGGTTACTTTAATCAAAATATATTTGCGAAACATTTACATTTAATTACAAAATGTTATGGCCGAAAAACGGGCTTTTTAAACAGTTTTTTGTGGTTTTTCATTATACGCATCAAAGCGAATAGAACTAAAACCACACTATCTTATTTCTTGCATGATAGCAAATTTATGGGGACATGTTTGAAGAAAATCGGATAAAAAAAATGAGGAAGTTATTCAAGTTTTATTTTAAGTATTACAAAAGTCTCCATTTTTTCACAGCCTTTTGTAATCTTTTGTGTGAAGCCAATATCGCAGGAAAACTATGAAGCATTCTACATAAACCTCGTAATATGAGCTGATGTTTTGCATTAAGTGCAAAGAACATCAGCTCATCCAGTGAAAATTTTGTTCCTGTGTAACTTTGGTTTTGGCTTTTGCAAAACGTCGTACCCACCTTCAGTTTTATAGATTTTTCTACCAAAACCGGGGAGCCTGGAGATTGAAAAGTTGGCCTTGACCTATCTTAATAAATTTGCAATATGTGTGTACAATTTCATAGAAATGTGGACGTGCCTAACTAGCATACATACATACACACAAACACAGAGAGACTGAAACACAGACAGACACACGCACTGACATATACTGTTATATAGATATAGATATATCACACGCACACACGCATCCACGCAAACCCACACACCCACACATAGTGATATATACATGCATATAGACTGGGAAGATAGATAGATAGATAGATAGATAGATAGATAGAGAGAGAGAGAGAGAGAGGTAGGTAGGTACGTAGGTAGTGAGAAGATACATACATATAGACTGAGTTTAAAGATAGATAGATAGATAGATAAAATCATACTTTGGTAGATAGATAGATAGATAGATAGATAGATAGATAGATAGATTTGTTTGTTTTTTACTGCCATTTGTGGGTTATTTAAAGCCTAATTATTATAAGAATATTTTTTATAATAATTCATTTTTCTTTGTGAGCGAATATTCCATTAACAATTGTTTGGAGAAAAAATGTTTTTCCAGAAACAAGTTACACTATTTGACCTATATCTGGGCGGAGGAGATGAATTCATGCCTTTCCCAAAGGTATTTGGGCATAAGACAATATAACGAAGGCGACTGGAATTCGTACTTGGGTCGATGAGAAAGAAAGAAAGAAAGAAAGAAAGAAAGAAAGAAAGAAAGAAAGAAAGAAAGAAAATGAACAGGTTGAGAAAGAAAGAAAGAAAGAAAGAAAGAAAGAAAGAAAGAAAGAAAGAAAGAAAGAAGGAAAATGAACAGGCTGAGATAGATAGAAATAAACTGAGATAGAAAATTCACTATATTTTCAAAAAATTAACTTTTATATGATTTATTCTCAGTTACATATTGCATTCAGTATATATATATATATATATATATATATATATATATATATATATATATATATATATATATATATATATATATATATATATATATATATATATATATATATATATATATATATAGAGAGAGATAGATAGATAGATAGATAATATTAGTAGTAAATATACATACATATGCAAAAAATATATAAATATATATACATATATGCTTTTTTGAATTTGTAGGTCTGATGAATTGGATCGTATTTCCGATTCCAGTGGAATAAGTTATGACCATGGAATATTAGTGTTTAAGCCTTTTTTTATATATATATATATATATATATATATATATATATATATAGAGAGAGAGATAGAGAGAGAGATAGATAGATAGATAGATAGATAGATAGATAGATAGATAAGTGGAATTGATCCACCTACAAATTTCTAAAAATACCAAGTCTGCAATATGATTCCCAGTCAGGGTTCACGATGTTGTTGCACTTACAACTAATTTCCAGCATCAAACACTCGCCCGAAACGCTGCCTCTCAAACTGAGGCGTTATGCTAGCTGACCCTTCTTGATTTTCATGTCTGTTTGTTACGTATGCATGCGGGTGTCGGTGGCTTTTTGTGCAGAGTCACGATTACTAAATCATCTTTGAGTAAATTGATCTCATGTAATTATTGCATTGTGGCGGCCATTTGCTTTCGGCAAGCAATTGCTAATAAAACGCACCTGTGAGGAATCCGATTTCATCACACACACACACACACGCACACACACACACGCACATACACACACACATATGTATATATGAATATTGGAATATATATATATATGGTAGATTAAGGAACAAATAAGAAACGTTTATAAATTTAACGTTTCGGTTTTACTTAAGCTTCATCAGAAATTTAAACACATTTTTAAATGTTTGTTGAAGCAATTAAAAATTAAATTTATGAAAGTTTCTTATCATCACACACAAAGAAAGACGCGTGCACCCCCCCAACACACACACATATATCATAATTAAATAATTCATCGAGTCTAGAGGAAAACTCAACAGAATGCAGAAAGCACTGGACGGCCGTTTAGTCCTTTATTTGGGACTCATCAGCAGTGCGCATCCACTGGCGATAATTGAAATCAGGACAGTTAAGTTATCAGGAAAACGTCATACCAACTGTACCAACGGGACTCAGTGAGGAATAGGTCGCGAATTAGACCCGATATAACGTCGCTCAATTACATATTCTGTGGTGGAACTCATCCGAGTTTCTCCTTACCCATAGGATTGTGCCTCTACGAGCCACGACTACAATCCCCAAGTCGCTCTATCCAGAGCACTAGGAGCCGTTTGAAGCAAGGATACACAAGTGATAGAAATTATTAGGAGGATTTGAGATAATTATAATTACGTAATCCATCGAGTCTAGAAGAAACCTCAACAGAATTCAGAAAGCACTGGACGGCCGTTTCGTCCTATATTTGGGACTCATCAGCAGTGCGCGCACACACACACACACACACACACACACACACACACACACATATATATATATATATATATATATATATATATATATATATATTCTGTTCTGGTTTCAGTTCTCGGTAGTAGATTCCAACCACCTGAAGAAGGCCGGAGCGTACAACGGCCGAAACGTTGTAATAAATATGACGACGGAGATGAGAAAAATAGTCCGAATAATGTAAATAATGTACATAATACCTCATCTCGGAAATATAAACAGATATAAAACAAATCAAAATCGAACTTAGTCAAAGACGACAATGAATTGAAGAGTATCCACAATGCTGTAAATTTAAATCGATATGGGTTTTGACTTTCCCTGTCGTGCAATACAGTTTCAATATCTTTAACAGAATCATAGCTGACATTAAGCGAATGGATGTCAAAATGAAAAAGCTTCTCACTTGCCACCGCATGCCTCATCCTAAGGCTGATGTTGATCGTCTGTATGTGCCCAGATCCGAAGGAGGAAGAGGAGTAGTTCAACTGGGACTTTCTTACAAAACCACAAAAAACGATTTTCAAAGATACCTGGAAAATTTCAGAAGATTGGATGATGTTCTGTTTCAAAGAACAGGAAAGGAATAAAAAACTTTATTTATTAATAAAGAAAGCCAACAAATACAAAAAGGAATTTCAAGTGGGTGAAGAAGTGCAAGTAAAACAATGCACCTACTGCAGCGGCAAAGGACCTAAACAAGAAAGCAAATGCAATGTACTAAATGCAGAAACGATGGCAAAATAAACCTCTTCATGGTCAATACTCTGTCCGTACAAAAGAAGCTAAAATGTTAAAGTAAAATGTGCGGGATCTTTGGTTGTTTTTGTTTATTTTTATGATCAATGGAAAAAATCATGAAGTAATTTCTGACCTTAGGTCTCTGGTTGGGATCCGGAAGGAAATCTGTATACAACAGAAATCAAAGAAAATGATAATAATAAATAAAAATAAGAATGATTATCGTATATTAATTTTGAATCGGAATTTCCAAAAACGCCTGCGTTCTTAAAGAAAATATTAGTAATAATAATAGTAATAAAAGAAGCCAACAAATAGAAAATGGAATTTCAAGTGGGTGAAGAAGTGCAAATAAACCATAATTCCCCCAACTGCAGCGACAAATAAAAGCAAAAAACAAATGCTATGTACCAAATGCAGAAACGATGGCAATATAAGTCTCATAAAATTGTTATAGGTCCTTATCTCTGTAACCGGGTCTGCATGATCTTCATACCAGCTTCATTATTATTATTATTATTATTATTGGACTTCATAGCGTACACAACCCTGTCTCTCCACAGATTTGTTTTTCTTTATTATCAGTGAATTCTCATGCATTCTTGGGAAATATAATGGAGTGGTTTTCCTTGGTTTCCCACTGTTTGTAATTCAGAGTTTTCCTTCTCTTAGGCTGTTTGCCAGCCAAGGCTACAAAACACAATAGGCGAAAGTGAACGCACTAGATTAAAAAACTCGGCTCGTCGTTTCCAATTTATGATTTAGATTGTTTGGCTTGTCACTTTTTGCGTCTTAAAATTTGTAAGGCGTTTTGCGTCTTAAAATTTGTAAGGCGTTTTGCGTCTTAAAATTTGTAAGGCGTTTTGCGTCTTAAAATTTGTAAGGCGTTTTGTGTCTTAAAATTTGTAAGGCGTTTTGCGTCTTAAAATTTGTAAGGCGTTTTGCGTCTTAAAATTTGTAAGGCGTTTTCACGTTAATTATTATTATTATTATTATTATTATTATTTCTCTGTGTATGCATAACTTTTATTTTTACTTTTAAATGCTACATACCTTTAAGATAGTCCACTGTTTCCCTTTCTCTGTGTATCGAAAACTATTTTTTTAAAATTGCATGTTTTCATCCTGCCTGTCATGAAAATTTGTTTTATTATCGCTAGCACCACCATTAGCATCATCATCAGCAGTACCACCACCTTTATCATTTTCAGTTACTTACTGTCAAATTCTTTTATGTTTGAAGTCGTGCCAACGTCCCCTCCCCAGTCCTTTACAACCGGAAGTCAAGCGAGAAGGCCGTTTGATTAAATTTCAGAACGATTTTCTGGCTATCATTTTTATTTCATAATATATATATATATATATATATATATATATAAATTACCAAGAACGGATAGATTGTTTTGTGCACGTGAAATTCTGTTGTAAAGGAAAAAAAATAAGTCCCGGACACACATCCTGATGACCATCAATTATATTACATACACTTCACTGGAAATATCTTACATTTTTAAATTCAGCCACTTTTTTTTTTTTTTTTTTTTTTATTTTTGTGAATGAAGTTCAGGAATATATTAGGGGCTGGAAAATAAGATTGCGAAAGGATAGGCCTTCAGCTTCATTTCATTACGAGACAGACCTAACCAATCGAAAAGCTATTACGCATTAATGGCGAATGGGGGAAAGGAAAAATAGGCGAAGAGAAAAAGCCGCGATGCGAAGTGGAAAATGAAATCCTTAAAATTGGAAATTAAGATGCACCAACAAAATCTGGGGTAAAAAGAAATTATAGTTCACTTCTTGACGCTTATGAAAGCACAAAGGTATACGAAAGGTGTTAAATAAGGCTCTTTACTCGACCGGTCACAACCAGCCATTTTACTTTCTCTTTTTTTCTTTTTTTTGTGGGAGGTTGGGAAGGGATATTCATCTCACGTTATTTAAAACTATTTGACTCTATAATTTCTTTTCCTGTGCACAAAAAATGTAATTCTTTGGGAAGTTTCTTAAGAAAGTAACTTTACCGAAAATAGAAGTGTGATAGCGTTTCAAGTGTCACTTTCAAAAGTCATGTAATGGTCAATTAATTATACAGATTGCAATAAGTACCTCAAAAACTTTTTTAAAAAGAGCATACCAAGACGAAAAAAAGCCTCCAAAATTTGATAAAAACAAAGTTTTATCGTCAAAATATCTATGTTATTATTAAGAGGAAAGACCAAAGTATATTTAGATCATTTTATTAAATTTTTTAATTACTTTCTAGCACGTTCAAAATTTTTGTTAAAAGTCTTGGTTTTCTTGTGTCAGCTGTCGGTCTAAAGATTATTATAGAGGTTTTTAAAAGCCTCACTTTTGGCGTTAAAAATTTTGAGTTTCTTAAAAAAATAAAATAACTGTCGGATTTTAATGAAATTTTCAGAACTTATTCACAAATGAATGAAAATATTTTTGACATTTTAGTTTTTTGAAAATATTGGTAAAAATATATGTTTTTGCATCTGTAACTCTCACTTAATTTTATAAAATTTCGAGAAATTAAAATTTCGGCTTTTCAAATTTATATTAATTAAAGCAGGTCTTCTTGGAGAGAAATTTCGAGAAATTAAAATTTAAGCCTTTTCATATATCAATTAAAGCAGGACTATTTTGGGAGAAATTTCGAGAAATTAAAA